ATAAACAAAACGCAACCAAATAAACAAATGAAAAAAACCTGCTCTTTCTTGGAGCCAAATGTGTTCTCCAGGGTGGACAGTGTTTACATCACCCCTTCCCCTGCTTCTTTGGAGCAGGTGATCCAGACAAGCCTGGCTTCCCTGGATGTCTCATGTAGGTGGGTGGGGCTTGGCAGGCTGAACAGCTGGGCGAGGGTGGAGTGGGGCAGGGTTAGATGCGTGGCATCACCACTGATTGCTCCAGCCTCTGTTAACACCAGGTCCACAATAACAACAGTATCTACCATTATGAATAACATCACAATAATGTCACAGCGGGAATAGGTTCTTTACTGATGCATCCACACACACACACCCAGAGTCCAGAAGGTAGAAGGGGGAATAGTAATGCGCACTTGGCGGTAATTTCCGCGTGGCCTCTCCCTGTGCTGGAGAGAGTCTCCAAACCCGGAGCAGAGCATCTGAATCAAAATTCTGTCTCTCTTGTCGTAACTCATTCATTCTCTTCACGATCCCAGGAGATAGATGTCTTCGCTTAGCAACCATGGATATCATCTTTGCAGCTGAGAAAATGGAAGAGCCCAAGAATGCCTCATTGGCTGAAGCTCACACAGCTATAGAGTGCAGAGAGCTGTTTGGGGTCTCTCTGCTCAGGAGGCGGAGCCCGTCAGTCCCCAGGGAAGTCTTGGCTGGGAAACTGAGTCCAGTTCTAAGTCTAATGTCATGGATGCTGTGTAACAGTGGGATTAATGATCATTTAAAGGCCACAGGCTCTCTTGAAGATGGGTGGGAGATGCCAGGGATCCATGCCTCCCTCATCCCAGGAGTCAATAGCCACAGTCCTCCTCAGGCCAGTTCGTACCCCTCCTTTTGGGTGGTTCTTCATGATTTGGGCATTATTGTTGTTAGCAATAGTAATGGTAGCACTGGGGATTGAACTCAGGGCCTTTGTATTAAGCTACATCCCCAGATCTATTTATGATATTAATTAATTAATTTTTTGAGACAGTTTCGCTCAGTTGCTAAATCACCCTGGCTGAGCTCAAACTTGCCATCTTCCTCTGGACATTACTGAGATGTTACTTAAAGAATGAAATCTGGTTTTGCAGGAAGCTGGGATCTACACTGGAAGAGCATATATTTTATTATCTAACTTTCAGTGGTGGTGGGGGGTTGGTGAAGGAACAGTAGCCCGTTAGAAAACAAATTGTCAAGAGGAAAAATGCTTCATCTTGCAGGAGAGAGGCTGCCACAGAAACCCCTTCCTCTCTTCCCACATCCAATGAGCTAAGGATGTAATTGTTTCTGGATGTGAACAGGGTGTCCGAATTCTGGTGTCCTCATTTTTCTCCTTTCCAATTGATGTATCATTACTAGAGTGAAAAAAAGAAAGGGATTTGAAAATAAAAAAGGGTGACTACTCAAGACATTTTGTAAAGAGGAGAAAATTGTGAAGAAAAGAACCTCAGCAGGGGGTGCAGGGTGGTGAATGTGGCCTTGTCTGGCGCTTCTTTCAGCCGAAACCTGGTGCTGCTGGTCCCGTTCAGTTCAAACTGTCACCTTTAGTTCTTGCGGACTTTTCTGTCCTTGCCCCAGAACCTCAGCAGATTGGAGCTTATTTACCTATTCAACACTCGGCCGTGGAAGCTCATTAATAGGCTTATTAGCAACACCATTCACAGGAGGCCATTGACAAAAGCGATTCCAGTGCCTTGAAGAGGGAGGAGGGAAAAAAAAACTGTAAAGAGATTATTTTCTCATTCAAAAGCTTCTGGTGTGAAAGCTTCCCTGGATTGACTGAGGTCACTTGAAGTCTAAATATGACGCCAGAATTGATTTTTTTAAAAATTCCAAACATGCTTTTGAGTTTCACAGAACCAAAGAGTTCGCTGGTGTGGGCTTGCAGGCTTGGCTCCCTTAAAAAACGAGCTCTCTTAAGGGGGTCAGGGGCTTTTGATGGATTGCTGTCTTTTCATCTGTATAAAGAATAAATTCCGCAAATGGTGTCTGGGCATTAAAGTAGGTGTTCTTACTTGTCATTTTCAGCGGAAGGCTTCCTTTCCATTCAGCCCACATAAAGCCGTGGATGAATGGGGACAGGGACTGCTTCCTGCAGCAGTAATTTATGTGAGAATGTGTTAACAGCATTTTCAATGGCTGACAGATCCTTGCAGGATGGGAAGGACCTGTCCTGAGACACTCTCATCTCCCACTGGTGGGGATATAAAGATGTAAGTGCCAGCTCAGAGTAGGTGGCCCTGAGCCACATCTCTTCTGTGGTCCTGGGTCTGAGAACTTGAAAACACATTGCTATGGCCCGAGCAACTCCAGTGGAGTGGATAGTTGAGTACACCCAGCTGAGGTGTCTGCTGATTTAAAGGGTCTGGGACCGGTCCTAATTCAAAGAACTGACCCAAAAGATCCCATCCCACCACACATATAAACTGATAATTTTGCTTGAGAATCATACTATTATTTTTGTTGTCAAACTTCCAAGCTATAATTCCATGGTCATTTGCCTGAGGCATTTAAAAGGGTTTGTTGCTCCTGACTTTTCAGAAATTTGCATAAGAAGTTTTCCAGACTGTATGGTGAATAAAACGGATCTGCTTATCAGGTAGTGCCTTGAGAAACTTTCTGTAACTATTAAGTATGCATCATTAGTGACCCAGGTGCAACTGCACCTCCTAATGCAGGAAAAGCAGAATTCCTAGGATGGGTATGTTCTCCCTGCTCCGCCTGTCTTCACGCCTCTGAAGGATTCTTAAATACTTCTGCATTTATTGACCTTTCCTAAAGAAAAATAATTTAGGGTTTTATTTATATCATCTTGAGCTGAGGCACAACTGCTCAGGAGGTGGATGAGCCAGGAGGGGAAGTGCTTTAAAAAAATAAGTTACCTGAAGACACAGCCTAGTGGAAAAGGTAATTGGAAAATATGAACTCTAATAGGTTACAGCCTGGTATTTAGTTGAAGCATCATATTTTGCAGCTGAAGAATCTAAGATGTAAAGAGGAACCGATTTGTTCAAGGTCATACAGCTGTTCACGGCAGATATGCATCCCCCGACTTCTTTCTACATTGCTTGGGTGGAACCGAGGGCTTCACACATGCTAGGCAAGCCCTCTACCCTGAGATACATGCCCAGCCACTTTTTCCAGGTGTGTGTGTGGTGGTACTGGGGGTTGAACTCTCACTGAGCTACATTCCCCAGCCCTTTTCTATGTTTCATTTTCAGACAGGGTCTCGCTAGGTCGCTATCTTGCCCAGTCTGGGCATAAACTTGCCATTCTTCTGCCTCAGCCTTCCTGAGCACTGGGGTTACAGGCGTGTGCCATCACGCCCAGCTGAGCCTTTTCAATTTCTTTTTAGTTACATACTACTAAAAAAAACACACGTGCTCTTGCAGATTTTAGCTTTTTCTAAGAGAACCGTATTCAGAGTCAAGCTCAACCAGTAGCCAGGGGTGTAACGCTGGCAAATCAGTTATCCTCCCTGAGCCTCAGCTTCCTCATCAGAAGCTGGGAATATAACTCCGCAGGACAGCCGTGCGAATTCAGAAAAGAATCACCTAGGGGCTCTATAAGTATTTGTTGTTTTGTCTCGTCTTTATCGTTTAGAAGGACTGAAAACAATCAGAACCCTACAAATATTTCCAGGTTTCTTCCTCTCCTCTGAAAGCTTCGGTTGCATTGCACTGCTTCCCCCAGTACCATGGAGACATATTTCAAGGCCTCTTTCGGGGAAGCGCGTTGTCATCTGTTTCCTAACTTGACATAAAACACCGTAGCGCCACAACTCCACCATCGGTGGACCAGCCTCGCTCGGCGGGGAAGGGAGGCGGCGGCGGTGCGGGGCCTTATTCGGAGACCGCGGCACCCTTCCGCC